TATAGTTCTTTTTCTGTTTTGATTTTATTTTCATCTTGTATTCTTTGAAACTTTAATAGCCTTTTATATTGTTTTACTGCATAACACCTGTAAATATCTCATAAGATAATGCAACCAATTTATGTAATAATTGGATACCAATTACTCAACGTTTGGCATTCGATTAGCAAGTTGTAATGCATAAAAATTTCGTATTTATTTTTTGAGTCTGATAATATGTTATTATATATAAGTCTTCTATCAAGTAAGATATCTTTAAAGATTAGTATATAAATTTTCTGATACTTATAGCTGTGACTAATAAATCAAGAGCTAAGCGATTTCTAGATATGCATGAACTTTTGGTAAGCAAACGATGTTTGACAGTATAAGTAATTTGTGAGTGAACTTTTCTAAAAAAGTAATGAGAATCCAAAGTTAAATGAATGTTAGGAAGTTATGGGATGAGATAAAAAAACCCATTTTAACTTAAGTAACAGTTATTTTAAGTCTGCCTTTTTCCTTCTAATACATAAATGTACTCATGTCATAAATTCTAAATATTATTTATATGGATTCAGTAAACCAGAAGCAAGAAGCTGGGAGGAAGTTAGAAATTTCGAAAAATCTGTTGTCATTAAAAGTGATATAAGCATCCTTGACTCACGATTCTCATAATTCATAAAGGCTGAAAATAAAGTGGTTAGCATATCTACCTACTTCTGGAAACGCTTACAATTAGGGATTCTTTAAAAGTAACTAAACAAATCATATGAGAATTAAAAGGCGGAAAAATATTTTTCTTAAGTCCTAAGCTTCAGACTAGAATAAATCTAAATTAAACATTATATATATCAATCACCTATTAGCCTTATTGGACCATTCCACAGGTTCCATTACATTTTTTACATCAAACAGGCTGCAGAGGCGTTTATTATTCTGGAAGGTAAAAAAGATAAATTAGTTATTTCGGTGGAAAGTAATCTAGTTACATTTGACTAGCCTATTAACATGCACACCTGAGTTGAACTAAAAAAAGTCAGACACAGGTAACGAATTCCGAAATGCAAGACATTTAGACATGTCTCCTCTAATTTCCTTTTTTTGTTGAATAACTCCAGGAATCTAAATTATAAACCCATACTGACTTTCGAAGAAATCGTCTGTGTATCATCTCAAGACCTTTATTCTAATCCTTTTCTGTATTTTTCAAGTTGGTATTCATCGTGGACTGATGTCCGGTGGAGGAACATTGAAAACACAGGAGCACTGGACAACTGTTACGTCTCACTCTGTAAGGAACCCTTCAGCAGTGTGCACTCACTATCCCGCCGCACCAGAGATCGAGCCCGTGGCCTTCAGTTTCTGTGGGCAGAACTTTCACATTAAGCCAATGTGCCGCAATCCAGTCGTTTATATTTCCAAATTCTGTTAGTTCACGACATAGCACGATGCCGCCCAATGTCATGGTTGAGTATTTGTCCTCAAGGTCACCAGACTTGCCCCACTGGTCACGAATTCTCATTGGAACTTCGGGAATCACCTCTCAAAGCTAGTCACTAATGAGCACTAGTTCGGTTGAATTTGCAGGGTTGTGAGGATTTAGAAACTTCTTAAAATTGGCATTCATCAAGTATTGAAGCCAATGGTAAGGTGCTGACCAGGGAATGTGAAAGTCACGGATCTGATCCCTGATGAGGTCGTGGGTGCGTACTGCTGGAGAGTCCCATACTAAGACAAAACAGCTGTCCAGCGCTTCTAGGTTTCCAATGTTCCTCAAACTGATATCAGTCCATGATGAATATCAACTTGAGAAAATTTCTAAATCCCCACAAACTCCTATATTCAATTTTTCCGTCTTTGTTTTCCTCTGAAACTCAAGGAACCTCTTTCAAACAGATATTTTATAAGGAATATATTGGATTTGTCTCAGATTTCAATACGTTTATGTCACTGAAAACCAAATAGGATAAAACAGCTGTCTGACACCGATTTTAAAATGTTCAGAGGAACATATCATGATGAAGTACTGAAGTGAATTCAAACATGACAGAAAGTATAGCATCTACTTTATCATTTGATGCCATAGTGGAAATTTTGTGTCTAACAGTCTCCAGTTCTTTTCAGGTTGCTTTACATTCCAACTACTACACATTATTTTCGGTGTACAACACTCTACACTTTGAAGCTGTCTCTCAACATGTCACAGATATCCACGAGAAATCAACTTGTTCAAAAATCGACAACTGATGCTGATTAATTGTCATTTGCTTGACTTTTGAGAAAAGTGATTATTTACGAGGAAAGTCTATCAGGAAATAAATGGCATCATTGAAAATTAGTTTTACTGAGAGCATTTTTCAGTACTTTGTAGCTTCTAATATTTTTCTATCTAATCCTAATTCAAAGACTTAAAAATTTAAAAATATATCTTTGAGATGAATGAAGATTTTTAATTTAGAAGTAGTATTCATCATGGACTGACACTGGGAATCACTGTAAACTGACCCAGTGGCTGAATAGTTAACGCGTTCGTCGTGAAACCTGAAGGTCCTGAGTTTCATCCCTAGCCAGATCGTGAGTGTGTACTGCTGGCGACTCCCATACCAGGACGAAACACCTACCTAGTGCTACTGGATTTGTGACCTAATAAGGACTTTTCAGGGTACACTTTATTTAGCAAATGAAGTATCTTTCAGTTTTACTTATGAATTTTGACAGCTGGTTCATCTTCTTGTTAAATTCTTCATCTCTGTGATTTCCTTCCTGATCAGTTTACAATGTGTTGTACTACTAAATGTTTAAAATGGATCAGCTGGAATCCACAAGCTTAAATATCTAATTAGTCTGGATTATCAAGAAGAGCATATAAGCAGGCTTGTCAGACTTCATATTCCATTTAGTACGTGTATCATCAAACGCATAACTGAGTGGTTTTCTTCCATGGTTATTTAATATACAGTCAGTTGAACTCCTTGTCAGTTAGCTCAATGGCTACATTACAAACTTGTTTACTAGACTTCGATTAGCAGTTTGTTGTTGATATATGTGTAAGTCTTATTTGCTTGTACTATTTGTTAAATGACCTTCTTCCTATGCAAGTTGGAGTAACTGACAAGTTTAAAGCTATCACATTATATGTGTGCTTGTTATTTTGTAACTAATTTGATAAACATATATTTCATAGTTATTTGATCAAGTACAAGTACATTTCAGTGCTGTTCGATGTAGAACTCGGTACAATTCGCCTTTTCAATATACAAACAACATGATCACATTCAAGTAACTTGCAATGCAATAGAAATTCTTGTAAGCTACACTAACTTGTTCATAATGTGTGAATTCTAGTAGGGTCGAACTTTTACTTCTCCCTGGTGAATTATCAATTTTATTGCTTGAAAATAAACTACCTCGCACCAAACTGATTCTTTTGTCAGCATCTGTGACTCAGTCAAATGCCTCTCTGTATAAAAAGATGTCAATATGATGTAGATCTTGATTAAAAGGAAGTTTCGTAAAAGAAATGGATCCATTAGCCTACAGGAAATGTGTAGAGAGATATTCTGAAGGGGAGATAAGTCTTCTAAAGCACGAGTTATCGTCCAAGACTTTGCATGTATGATCACAGGTTGAACTGCTTATATGAAGCTTATGACATAAGCGTTACTTAGGTAGGTTACTTCATGCAGCAGTGGCAGCCCTTTGAAACCATGGGGCAAAAAAATTTCTTCATTTAATATGCGACACCATCTAGCCACTGTTTGACTTTTCTGAACCATTCAATTTTGTTGTCAAATGGTATTGTGTACTCTCGCATACATTTCAATGAGCCATTTAGGAAGGTAACAATAAAATGAAGAAATGACTTTTTTGTAGGCGGCAGTGAGATTTGAAAAGCACAGCACTGTTTCATATATCTATTTCTGAAACAGTTAACTGGAAGCGCACATTTTTGAACGAACTGACTGAACCATTACCATCAAACTTGCCCATGCTTTTCTATTTCTGCTTCCCTTTAGACCTGATGGTAGCCTGACAAAAAGTGACTGTTATGCGTTACTGTTTATGAAGCTGTTATTATTAACATTGGCGAGATGGTATAATTATTTGGTTTAGAAATATTTTACAGGAAGTAGGTTGGTTGAAATATTGCATACTAAGAATCCTACACTGGATCACTTATACTGTCTGGAATTAAATGACCCTCATTATTTGTTTCCAGGACTGCTAATTGATGTTAAGTAAGCTATATGATGAGTTTGCAAATGTTCTCATAGAGTTACATCAGCATCTTGTCTCATCCTACTTTACAAGCATTTTACACCAAACTTTAGATTTTTCATCTCGCTTTCTTTACCCGATTAAACTAACTTTACAGTTACGCGTGATATTTCCATTTCCCTTAATTCATTTTTTTGTCTCAAAATCGTATTTAGAAAGATAAACTAAAGACCGCTTGTTTGCAGTTTTACTGGCTGAACTGAGAATTTCGGCTACTGAATATATATCAATTTTTGTTTCATTCAAATCACCAATAAATCATGTCAGAAAGAGATAAACAGTCAATTTTGTGGTTATACAGACAGATAATTCAATCGATCCTCTGACGTTCTGTAGACTGGTTCCCTTTACATCTTAAACAGTCATCTGGTTATATCTGCGTGTAACTTGGCTGTTCTGTAACGCATTTGAAATCTTATTCATTCACCTTCCAGTTTCAATTGCTAGACTGCCTCACCTTTTCGCTGTCAAGCTCTACCCTCTGTCACTTATCTTTTATTATTGAGTGTAAGTAAATCCTGTGTACTTGCTGAGTTGTCAGCTCATCTTTTTCTCTTCCTCTCTTCTCTTCCAGATTCTTGTTGCTATCACTAGACTGACACTGCTCTATATGCCCCCTGCAACAATGTATCTACTTACAGGCTAGACGAAAACATATCAATAGCTGGTTGTTACAATTCTTCGAACACTAATCCTACTCATCAAAATTATTTCTCTCCAACTAATGGTTAAAATAAGAATTTAGTTTAACATATTTATAGATGAATAAAAGATACACCAGAAGTGATAGATTACATAAAAAGCGCACAACAATCCTATGGAATTCGATATTTCCACGCTACTCTCAATTTCGTTTCATATTGCAAACATTCAGTAGAATAAAACCAGTTAGCTGTACTATAGTATCTCAGATAAAAATGTCAGATCTTGTTATAAAAATGAAAATCACATAAGAATCACCAAAATTCATAAATTATCAAGTGAAGTACACTAATGTTACTAGTTATACATTTTGATCACGTTTTTTTAAGTAATAATAGAAGACGTTTTGAATGAATCTTGGTTACCTTTTTTTATATTCTGAAAAATTATGTATATGATAAAAAGGAAAATATGTATCTGTATTGGTTTTAATTCATACATATGAAATGATGTTGGTATGCTTTAAAGAGACTGTTTCAACCAATGACTTTTGTTTACAGAATATAATGGCAAAGAGAACATTTAATACATTTGTAGACACTAATAACGACATAATTTTATAACAACTAGTATAATCAGCAACAGTAGCCGAAATAGAACCATTAATTTTTTTGTCATGTTACCGTTACATGAAGTAAAAGTGGAGAATTATGAGACAGATTAGAGAATATCGTATGGCAAATAACATTTGATATGACATCTTTGTTACCGCCTCTAATATTCAATATCATACGTCTTTTCTTCATCTGGAATTTCAAATTGTATCTTTTGGCATAAAAATTCATGTATCTTTTATGAAAGAGTAAGTAATAGTGACCCACTTTTATAATGAAAAAAGAAGCGAATAAAATAGGATAGGGAAATACAAACTACAAGATTGAATACTGTGAAGGAAAGTTAATAGAATGGAAGGGAAGAAGTTATACATGGTCAAAAGACAAAAAGAAAAAACAGTAAACGACACAAAATGACTGACATTAGGAAGACATATATTGTGAATGAAACTGAATTGATCATGTCTGCTCTTCTATTAATCCAACTTTATAAGCAAATCGTCTAAATTTAGTCTTCACTTCCTCTTGCATTAAACTGAACGACATAGCTACCATAGATAAACCAAATAATAAATAAATACAACAAAATACTGGTTTAGTTGAATTTTCATGCCATTTATCTTTTTGTATACCAGGTACAAAGTCACCGAAACCAATTGTTGACAATGTGATGAAAACAAAATATGCTGATTGTAGAACATTCCAATTCTCCCATTTAGCGAATATGATTGCACCAACTGTCATATAGACAAAAAATACTAACAATGTTAACCATATTGGTACATGAACATCACCCTTCTTTATTTCTTTAAGATTGTTTGATGAAATTATAGACTGTGAACTTGTTAAAGTGTGAAGAATTGATTGTGCACGTTTTTCAAATCTTAGTGAATGATAATCGGTACTGTTTAATTTATGAATTGACTCATTTGAGGTACACTTGTTGTAATCATGATAGGATGATTTTGTCGTCAACGTTGAATTCTCAGATTTTTCTTGTGAAATTGTGTTCAAATCATGTTTATTATGAGTATTTATTGATCGATTGAGTAGTTTTCTTTCTGGTCGATCAAGTAATCTTTCATTCATCAAGAATGGTAATGATAAAGGTAGTTGTTGTTTGGATAGTTTCTTTTTAACACGATGTTCATGGTATCGAAGACATGAATTGGCATAAATAACGCGTACAATATCTGCTAGAAAGCCACCTAGATTAGCTAGACACAATAAAACTAATGGTATACCAAATAGGGCGTAAATTACAGTTATCGCTCGTCCAAGATCTGTTTTCGGTACAATATGTCCATAACCTGGAGTTTCAAAAAAGAAAATATACAGAAATTAACTTACGACTTATTACTATTAAAATTCAAATGAAAAAGTATGACACTTACAGCTGTCTTCTTTTCATAGGAGAAGCTAATATAGTCTGTACGTCCTAGGAAAGTCATGGTTGATAAACGGATGTATATACGCATAAGGAAGATAGTTGAGGTTGAAGGAAAAATCAAGCTGGTAAGGCATTGAAACGACATTCCTCTGGAAGCGACAAGGCAGACAATATTGACTGTTTAATACAATGAAGCATACTTAAAGTGATTCGACATAGAGAAGTTAGCACTCCATCAAAAAACAGTGAGTAAGTTTGATGCATAGCAGCAGGACCAGGTGGAATCCTGCCAGAAACACTGAGAGCAGACGCCGGGACAACAGCGGACATGCTCACACCACTATTGCTGAAGGTCTGGAAGGAAGGGAAGGTACCTGCAGATTGGAAGAAGGGTTATCTTGTCAAACTCCCAAAGAGGAGAGACCGAAGTCTTTGCAAGAACTGGCGTGGAATCACGTTGCTGTCCACCCAAAGCAAGCGAAATATTAAGCCGCATCATCCTGGAGAGACTAAAGGATGAGTTGGACTGAAAACTACGGCCGCAACAGGCTGGCTGGCTGGATTCAGGAAGTACAAATCATGTGCAGATCAAATTGCAAAGCTAACCATCATCATAGAACGGAGTATACAATGGCAGTCAACTCTCTACTTCAACTCCATCCACTTTGAAAAGACCTTGGACAACGTCGACCAACAAGTAATTTGGAAACTGCATCAACACTACGGAATACCACTAGTCTTCATCAACCTCACTCAACAGATATATGAAGACGCCACATGTCAAGTAATTCACAATGGGAGGCTCAGTGACGCCTTCGAAGTGAAGACAGGAATAAAACAGGACTGTCTACTGTCACCCATGATATTCCTGATTGTGGTGAACTGGATCATGCAACAAACAGTGGGAGTGAGAGGAGGGAGATACGCTGGCTGGACCGGGAAGAGGACCTAGGAGATTTGGATTTCACCCATGATGGCTTATGTCTAATGTCACACAAACTCGAAGATTTACAGGTGAAAACTAACAAGTTGACAGAAGAGGTGAGGCAGCGAAGACAGGACTTCAAGTGGACGTGGAGAAGACAGAGGTGATGAAGATACCTAACCAACACCACCACTACCAACAACAATAAGCTCCAATCACCATCAAAGGGGGAAACCTAATGGAAGTAGCCTCTTTCATCTATCTATGCAAGGCAGCCCTGTTTCAACTACAGGTGACATAGACAAGGATCTTATGGCCAGCCAAGATCGGAAAAGTAAGACAGGTGTTCATTAGCCTGAAACCAGTGTGGAGATCTACTGCACTCAGCATGTGGAACAAGATCCGGATTTTCAACAGTAATATCAGTGGAGTTAGTGCTTCTGTATGGTTGAGAGACTTGGCGCGTTACGAAAGTGATTTCCGACAAACTACATATATTCACCAACAACTACCTACGCTCGTTACTGAAGGTCAGATGTCTAGAATGAATAAGCAACAAGAAACTGTGGGAAAAAACCATCCAAGAACATATCACTCAAGAGATATGCAGAAGGAAGTGAAGATGGATTGGATTTGGCATACACTGAGAAGACCATTCTAGGACGTCACGCGCCAGACACTCGAGTGAAACCCGCTTGAGAAATGACGAGTTGGGAGTCCGAGTTGAGGGTGACATGGAGGAGATCATGTGAGGAAGAAATGAGAGGTTTTGAGCAGTGATGGAGCCAGATTCAAAAAATTGCAGAGAAGAGAGTGGAATAGAGACGTTCTACTGAATTCCTGTGTCATATCAGGAACCCAAGGGGCAAAGAATAATAATAATAAAGTCTGACGCATACAATCGGGATGAACCGTATTTACAGTATTGGTAGATCACCTGCGATAATAGATCAATTATTACTGAACTTTTGAAGAATCATTATTCAGAATTAAAAAAATAAAAGATAATAATTAGGTTTTTAGAAGTAAGATGTAAAAAGGAGCTGGAATTAAGTTCACCAAGTTAGTAATCATAACCAGTTCGAAGAACTAATAATAAAGTAATGAGAAGTTGTTCATAGAACTTTTGGAGGTTAAATAGTCACTCTACTTGGTGACTAGTAGTGAAGTTCAGGATGCACCTCTCATCCTTTTTGGGACCCGCTCATCCGCTGGATGTACCTGCAACCCAGTGAGTGATATTGTTCCCCCTGAGACGCAAAACCAGCGTACACCACCTCAAACGCCACTGAAGCGTGATAACCAACTCTTGTGGAAAGGGTATCAGTTGTTGCTGTGATGCTTGTCACTTCTTGTTGCTACACTGTGTCAAACTACTTGGCCTCTGTTGGCACTGTTGGGTCTGTAGGTGCTGGGTTCGAGTCTAAGTGGGAATAGTATCACTCACCGTGGTTCAGGTTCATCCAGCTGATGAGAGAATCCTAAATAGGATGAAACTTGCTTCCTGGATTCCACTGCAAGTCACCAAACAGATTGTAACATCACGAATATCTGATAGTATAGAGGCATTCGCATAGGAGCCCATCTGTCGACAGAGATCGTTCAATTCGACCTTGTATAACAGCGAGGAATGACAAGTATCAAAGCAAGAAACGGTAACTCTTTCATACAGAGAAGTAATTCTTCAATCTCGTCACTAAAATACTTAGTTTGAAGTGAACCATACTAGATTATATCCTATTAGTCTGGATTTTTTATAAGTATTAAAATAAGGTAACGAGTAAGTGACCTTGGAAAGTTATTCTATCACTTTACGTATAAGTTTTTGGATCAATAAAGCATTCGCTTTGACTAGTTCAAAGTGTTTTGTTATCAATATTGGTATTTTTGTAGGTTTTATAAGAACAAATTAAGAAAGTCCATACATCTAAGAAACCTGGAGGTAAATATAATTGATATTTACCTTAAGGTTGTGGTAATTAGGCTTAATGTGAAATCATTGTTGATCTATGTCTGAAAAGTGCAGACAATAAAGCTTTTTGTAGGCAAAGACTGGGACTGAATATGAACATCTTCTTAGAAAATACAGAAATAACCAATAAGGTTTCTTTATTTTGACTGATAAGGGAATTATACTGTAAAATGGAAAGACTTAATTGACTATAACACTTGTTGTTATAACCTCCTGTAGAACCACTGCTAGACTGAATGTCTATACAGGTTTAGCCTTTAAGTCAACTTGGATTAATCATGATAGTTAGAAGGATATGAGTATCTACTTTTATCAGCTGTGTTTAATAGGTTCATAAATAATACGTTATTAGCGAGTAATAAATATTCAATCTAATATCAGCGTAAAAAATCAAAGTAAAAAACTTCTATGAAAAAGGGAAAAACACAGTTTTTAATCGTATTTACGGATATTGTCTTGTTTAGGAGATTGAGTTAATTCCATTGGAATAACAAGTTAATTTGAAGGGAAAACTGATTCTTATCGGAATTAGGACTGTATACACAGATATTAGGTCCGAATAAAAAAAAAGTAATTGCGTAGGCACTACAGTGTTGGTGACAGGAATAACAAGAATAAATAAGATTTCAATGCAAAATTTTTTGGTAGTTTTTACTCGACAAGTAATTTTATATTATACCGTAAATTATTTTTGTTTTTCGCGGAGGAATACAGTGAAAGTTTACAGTCACTTTCGTTTTGGTTGTATTAATTTCGACTGATCTATCCAGTTTGTAATTGTTTCATGGATCTTATATTTTCAAAGTACACTTAAGTAACTGGTCAGAAATGAGGTAATCAGAAAAAGTATTCAGCTCTCTGGATTGAATCAGCTTATGTATACTGCTGATTAGCTCAATCTCAGTTAAGTGAAATAGCCGTTCTATGCTTCATGATTATGGCCGATGGTTATGAGTTGTTTACAACTAATCACGTCAGTGAGGAGTTTACACCCTGAACATGTTAGTTGGGTGGGGTCAATCGGGAGGAAGCCCTGACTGTCCCAGGTTTTTTCGTTGGCAACACTAGTCAGCAAGACTTATCTACAACCTCTACGATATGATGTCCCCCTGAAGTTCGAACCCACGTCAACTAATGCTACAGTCAGAGATGTTGCCCTTAAGGTATTCGGGCCGCGACTGACCTTTTGTAGGGCTGGACTAAGCACATTGGTTGACCACTAGTCCAGTCTTACAGAAGGTCACTTACAGCTTAACCAGCTTAGAGGTGACGTCTGTGACTTTAGCACTGTGACACGGGTTTGAATCTCAGGTGTAACATCATATCCGTAGAGGTTACAGATGTGTCTTGCCAACGAGTCCTGACAGGCACAAAATCTAAGTTAAGCAGAGCTTCCTAACAACTGCCTCCATCCATCTAACATCTATTGAAGTGCATTGTCATATTGAGTCAACTAGCCTAATGGTTATATTGGAAAATGATCGACAGAATTCGATCAGCGCATAGAGCGAGATAACATGAAGTTGGTTACTCCCAGTGATCAATCATATATCCTGAACATTCATAATTTCATCGTCATGTAAATAACAGTGACTTATGAAAGTGCAGAAAGATCTTATTACCCTATTAACTTCTTTAAGTAATGTAGAAAGAAGACAACAATTAAAGTCTATACAGCGCTTCTGTCATTATACAATATCAGATAAAATTGAAGATGCTTTAATACTTTTAGCAAGTTTGTGAAGAAGTCTGAAAATTGATAGCTCACGTATAATATTTGATCGATAGAAGGGAAACTGAGCTCATTAACGGTCAATTTAAGGTTCCTAAATATATAAACAGCTGAGACATATTTTTGCTTCCAAAGTTATAGGGATACAGAATTGCTTTAAGAGGAAAGGTTTTACACTCATAGGCTGTTCTATCGGTTGATAGGATAAATTTATGATTCGCTTTTACACTGCTGTAAAAATCTATTGGAAATACTTGATCATATGGTTATAATAGAACATAATACCTTATC